GAGTCCAAAATGACGCTTTATCTCCGTAGCCAAACTATTCTTACTACGGAACATTAACTTCTCTAATGTACAGCTATTCTTTTTCATATTTTGCTAGTGTTTTATCTTTTATGTCAGGTTTATTTTACATAAAATAACTCTCTATCTTGCACACTACTGACCAAGCATTAAAGAATAAAACACAATATTGACTGCAAAAGAAGAAGCTTGTTTTAGGTTTTTTCCTGTCTTCCGGGGTTTTGGATTTCCCAAGATGTGCTTTAAAATCAAACGTAATTATCATGCCGTCATGTGTTTACGCGTGCAACTACTGTCTTCTCCTATCTTTACACCTGTTTTACGGAGCCAACTCAAAGAATACAAATTTCTAGGGCGACAATTTCACGTATATAATTAAAGCTTTCTTAAGACCAACTTGTGACCATGAAATACCTTTTAACGTCCATTTTTAAAGGGAAAGGATTCAAGTTATCAGGCATGGTTCCGGAAAATCTCCTACCATAAAATCACCGAAAAACGGTCTTCGGTCTGAGAAAGTCAACGGTATGTAGGGTCACATTAAGGTCTCTTTACTGACATCTACTCCTTTTTATATTTCGCTTCTTCTATGCCTATTAAGCCTTATGTGAGTTTTTGGCCACTCTTTTTTCCTACAAATACCATAAATCCGATATTTCCTAGTTGTTACTTGCACTGACCTTTCATTTCTTGCCACTTAAGTGAGCGTTTTGATGCATACGAGAGAGTGCAACTTACATCCCGGTGCGACATAGTTTAATATGGCAGGCATCGATTTACCATAAACCAAAGGATGGCAAACCTAGTGGAAAAAATTGCACAGTCAATTGTTCGTGTATCGCCGTTGCCTTCAGCCCCAGACATAGTCGCCAGCGTGGTCATTCGATAATAGAGAGTTTATGGATTTGAAATAAATGACTGCTTTCCAACTGCGTCCTGTTTCTTATAAGATTGATAGCACGAATATCGTACACAATAGCATTTCCCTAGAAAATTAATATGAAGCAACAGGCTCCTGTTTCGAAGCACCCTACCTAACTACTGAATAGCCGCACGTTAAAATGGGATAGAAAACGGAAAAAATGGATAGAATAATGCGTAAAGGTCTGGGACGATTGAGAACAGTCTTATTGGTTGGTAAGTCTGAAGAACCATCTGCGCGTACCGTACACGTCCTCAAACCCAACTTCGCAGGTTTGTAGCTTTAACGAGAAGAGTCATATTTTATATCGATGGTAGGACAATAAGTCTTATATTGTGAATGATCTCTTGTCGTCCATACTATTCATGTTATGTGGTTTTAAAGGGTCAGGTTTTCAGCATTGAAGAAGTCGCTTATTTGAAACGGAACAGGACTCCTATGTATCCGTCGTAATGTTGTCCTCCTTGCCACTAAAGTTTAAGGCAAGGGTTGATGCCTTAAGACCAAAGACCCATAATTTAGTTGCCGAGGATGTAGATAGGGCAGTTGTCAGTAGACAGTGAATCCTGTTTCGTACGAGGTGGTAGAAGAATCGCGTATGTGATCATGTTAGCAATGGGAGCTAGTTGTGAAAGTCGACTGGCACTTTTAAGTGAGAGGATATCCGCATTATGCTCGGAGAGGACTGATAGTTCGCGATAGTTATCATCAGTATAATGAAAACAAAATGTCAATAAACGTTGCCAACAAAAACAAAGGAGAATAGGATGGCAATTCCTGCTTCATAATACTTCACCAGCCAGTCATACCCAACCCCAAATGGCGCACCACCCGAGGTTCGTAGCCGCGACCTTTTCTTTACAAGTTAAGCGCTCTAACCCTTTAGCCTCGGACTCGTTGTTTTTCCGGGTTAGATTGGAAATCTTTACACTAAATGATATGTCCCCAGGAGCAATAGGTAGAAGGAGGCAAAGCCGGTTCTGATCGTAAGAGTCTTTATTCAGGATAACAGAGAGTCAGCGGAATCCTTAGCTTCTCCATATAGCCTATTTATGAGGCTCTGGCCTTTTAGAATACTCCTGGCCCAATAGCATGCGGCCACTGTTCTGGCCTGCCACTGATCGATAGTTTGCGGCGCCATGCGAGTAGTCGTTAAGTGTGCCTTCTAATCGATAAATCCCAATGCTGCGTGAACGGTCGTCGCGTGTGCACGCTGACCTATAATTCCTCACGCTGTCTGAGCGGTCGTTAGCGTTCACCGTTTGCCTGTGCGCATGACTTCAGGCCGTGGGCTCTGAGTGCATGGCCGTTTGCGTCCTCATAACACTAGTTGATGAATATTCATCGTTTGCTAACGGCAATCACTCACCCCATTTAGCCACGAGACTCCATCTCCAGCTACGCCAGCAGCCGCACAGCGGCCAGCAGTTAACGCAGACGAGCGTTGCGAACGAAGAAGTTAGATTGGAATAGCCATTTCTGGCTCATTAGTCATCATTAGCTAGTCATAATCAACTTCAAGTGGTGTACCACCCAAAGTTTGAACCAGCGGCGTCTTGATTAGCATTTCAACGCTATTTCCACTGAAATTGGATCTGTTGGCTGATATGGCTTGGAAGTTGCGTTATGTGGG